ACTATGCTTAAACCAGGTAGGATCTTCACAGCTGAGAAAATCATTAGGAAAGCTGCCATGAGAACCCATGTACTCTTTCTACATCAGGGTTTTTAAAACAAAATGAAGGAAGAAATATTCAATATAGAGACGCTAAGCTAGAAGACTAACTGAAAAAATCTCAGGATATGGGACAAGGTAAGAAGCCAGTGCAAAATACCAACTACTCTAAAAAAGGAAGGAAACAAAAGACTTCATTAAGAGTAAAAGGAAACGAACATGTTTCTTCCTTTCCTTGGCAACACATAGGGGTACTGGGAAGAAGAGCTGGTGAGGCTTGGGCCTCTTGAGACTTTCTGATTGCTGCTCCTGGGGCACTTGAGGATGGAGACTCCAACACCTTTTAGGTAGAAGACACAGAAGGATTTTCAGGCCTTTTGACCTCTCTGTCTTGTTTATTCTCTCTCAGTCTTATTTTGAGCTAGAAAGAGATTCTGATTAAGTATTCTGACACTTAAGTATTCTGCTTTAGCCTACAGTGAGAAAAGAGATCCTCAAGTTTCCTTCTAGGTTGCTTAGCCCATTTTGCCATGGTAGGAAAAGTAACTGATTTAAGGCCAATCCTCAATGAGGAATAAAGATTATATGCACTTGGCTGGAAAAATCATTTGAATATACAGATTATGAGTATCGCAGATCAGATATAGGAAGGATTCCAACAATACTGATATGGAGGGCAGGATAGAGGCTATTAACTGTCAGGTATTGAATTCATTCAGGAAGGTTGTATGTCATGAATACTAGTGCTGGAGATGGAGAAATACACACATACAAAGGATTTCATAGAAACAAAGATGATTTACAATATTTGCAGTTGCACACCAATCCATAAATCTGGCATGAACTCAAATGTATAAAACAGTGCTCTCACTGGGTTATAAAAACAGGTAATTTTTATTCTCTTTTCTCATACTTTCTAAATTTTCTTCAATGAGACTTTTGATATTTTGGTAATATAGTATGAATCTTCTCAACAGTCCCAACTGGGAAAAGGGGTTAGATGATTAACAAAAATGTTGGATAAAGTGGGAAACCATAAAATGTGACTATTATCATAACATTAACATTAACTTAGATGTACGTTTGAATATACAATGTACTCCTCTATCAATCTTTTTACATAAGGTCAAAGATTTTTTTCTTTGAACATGGATCAGTTTGGGGTTCCAGGTCATCTGTTTTGGACAAACAATACCACATACATCTGTAAATGCCAAGCCCTATTTATTTAGAGTGTAATAAATTTAAAGATACTTGGGAAACAACCTAAGTATGAATTCCTTCTAAGATTTTTACTCTGTGCTGCCCTGTAATCTAATAGTTTTCTCACAGTAATTTCATTACATTTTTAAAAGACTTTCCTTTATCGAGTCTTTCCAAGGCATTCCACTCGGTTTTAATGAAACAAGTCTTTATGTACTCATATTTCTTCAGTTTACTAACATCTAAATGATTATATAGTTGCAACTGGTAGTATAACTTACACTAGTGGTTTGGATACAAATAAGTGACTCTTAGTAAGCATACACCTCACCAGGTGGAAGAAGTACAAAAGCATTCTAAAAAATATTTAGAATATTATGTGAGTATCAGCATGCATAACTTATGAATGGAAAAAAGTATATCAGAAAAGTTGATCATATGAATGTTGCTTTATGGCATTACGCACTTTCAGAATCTGAAACCATCGCCACTGTTTTTTATTTCTTAAGGGAAGATGCTTTAAAAAAAAAGATTAAAAAAATGATTTGAGAGAGGCAGTGGGAACGGGAAATATGCCAGTCTTTCCTGTTTATCTCATGAGTGTGGGGGTGAAGGTATGTGCTATGCACCAGTGTGTTTTGGAGGAAGTAGAATTCTGAGTCACAGAATGGCATGGAGTGACTGTCACTGGATAGGATTTTGCCAGGATTCTAAGCTTTTGTCACACCAAACAAATGGTAGGAATGACTAACTAAGAGGATGCAGTTCACAGTACACTACTGGGTATAAAGTAAAAAAGGGCAGGAGAAAAAAGCAAAGATAAAGGTGTGAATGAGTACAGGAAGACAGAGGACAGAGGAGTGGACTGTGATTCAAAACTATGAATAAAAGGAACAAAGAAAACAGGAGGCTATGATAGGCATAAACTTCCCCGGTTTTTTTCTTCCAAATAGGTATCAAACTATTTTTCATATGATCTTCAGCTAGTTTTTGGTACAAACTTCTGTCCCTAAGAGGAGTGAAACCAAAGTATGTAAGAGTAATTCCAGATGTTGAGAAATTTACAACCCAGTGAAGAGATCAACATAAGTACAAATAATGACAAGACCCGGTAATATGTACTAAATACAGTAAGAGCAATACAGATAGTAAGTGCATAAGATTATTTTCACCTTAAGAGGCAAGTGACAGCACACTCCTCCTTGCAGTCTCCTATGCTAGCTGTGACTGCCTATAGCCCTGCTTAATCTCTCAGTTCTACAGACAGTTTCACAAAACTTGTTGCTAATCCAGTTGTACTGGTGCTTGGTTAAAACCTCCCTAAAAATTAGTGAGAGACTTTATTTGTGAAGAAGCAACACGATGATAAAAATGAGTGTTTTAAAACTTCATCATGAAGAATTTCAAACATATACCAAAGTACAGAGCATAATATAACAAATCCTCACGTGCCCATAGACAGCCTCAACAATTTTCAATATAACCCAATCTTTTTCACTCCCTCCTTTCTGTATAATTTTGAAGCAAGTCCCACATGTCATTTTATATCATGTGTAAATATTTTAAAATATCTCTTTCAAAGCTAGAATTCCTTTATAAAATATAATCAAATAGCAATATTACACCTACAAAATTAACAGTATTTAATGTAAAACAGCCAGTGCTCAAATTTTCAATTGTCTTATAAAGACTTGAAATGACTTTTTAAAATATTTTATAATTTATGCCAGAAACAGAAGTAAAGGCACCGACCTATTATATAATCAAAGGCATAAATGAGAAGCCAAACAACTTGTCAGACATCCAAGGACTACCTACTGCTAGTAAATAGCATTTACTGCGTGCTAGCACTGCATCAAGGGCTCTTCACATATTAACTCATTTAACCCCATGATATAGGTGAATTACCAATAACATAAAGAAACTGAAGCAAACATGTCTAAGGCCCAAACAAGTCTAAGGTCACCCAGTTAACCCAAATACACACCAGCTGATGAATAGATAAGTAAAATGTGTTATATCTGTACAATGGAATATTTTTCAGCCATAAAAAGGAGTAAAATATTGATAGATGCTGCAACAAGGATGACCCTTGAAAATGTTACGCTAAGTGAAAAAAATCAGCCACTAAGGACTACATATTGTATGATTTTGTTTATAAGAAATGTCCAGAACAGAAAAATCTATATAGAGACAGAAAGTAGATTAGTGGTTGCCTAAGGCTGGAGAGAGGGGTCGTAGGGAGGGACTGGTACTGGGTACAGGGTTTCCTTCTGGGGTGATGAAAATGTTCTAAAATTGGACTGTGACCATGGTTGCACAACTTTGTGAATATACTAAAAACCACTGAATTGTGCACTTTAAATGGGTGAACTGTATGATATAACAATATCCCAATAAAGGTGTTTTTTAAAAGTAAATTACCAAAAAGTTTATATTTATCAAACCAATAAAAAGTTACTAATTGGGCAACGCCCTTGGGTCCCCTCTCACTGTGGGAGCTTTTCTGTCTTCTCAACAAATCCTGCTTTTAAAAAATGTTATTAATCATCTACACATGCACTACACTAGGTTCTATGCAAGTTACAAAACAAATGTAAGACACTAACCCTGACCTCAAATGTGTTAAAATTCAAGAGAAAAGGCACACATGCAACATATAATGTATTTTTGCTTTCTGAATCATGCCTTTTTTCCAAAGAGGTAGTCAATTGTCTGAACCAAGTTTTCTGACTCATAAAAGACAATGGGGCTAGAACCTAAGGAACATACAGGCTATGATAAGACCAATCCTTTCTTTCTTGCCCCTGGAGGCCTGTGGAGGCTATGATCAACCAAAGAGTTATCTTGTGAGAGAGAAACCTATAGGATCCTTACAATGTGAGTAAATGTTTTCTAACTGAACAGAGGCCGAAGCGGCTGGCAACCCTAGGCTGAGCTAAGACCAACAAGGCCTGGCTCCTCCTCCCTGGGTTGAGGGATACCCAGGGTAAACAAACTGCACAGGCTTTCTTTTGCTGTGGCTGTTAAAGAGCAACAAAGATCCTTGAGAAAGACAAGGGAGAGCTGTGCTCATAAAAGCTGTGAGGTGAGTGTTTAGAGGAGGGAGATGAGGGTTAACAAAGAGATACAATCTGGACAAGGGGAGAGTTGGGGATCTGAGGATGCACAGAGTAACCATAACACTGACCAAAACTGAAGAGGTACAGGAACCCAGTGCATCACTCACAACCACAAAGGATTCTTGGAGACAGCATTTCTCTTACATGGATTATGAGGAAACTGCTGTTCAAAATCAAAGTGTCTGGGTACCATGGACTTATGGAAACAGGACTTGGTTCTACCCTGAGGCTACTGGAATAAATAGCATCTAGTTAAATGTCCAATGAACCCATGAGGCTCACATGCCACATAAATTCTAAAACCAGTAGTGCACAACAGAAAGATATTTCAACTTTACAGACAGGTGAACTCAGTCACTATAACAAGGATTTGCAGTCTCTGAAATGTTCAGATAATGGTGACAATCAAAACTTAGAGTCTTGCTTAAATGTTTACTGTTTGAGACAGAGCTACAAGTAAAACCCTAATCAATAAAGTAGAAACTCACATCTAGAAAGAACATTTCATACTTGGATAAAGTGGCTTGGACCCAGAGTGACCTGATGAATCAGCAGACAACACTGCATCATAACCTTACAGTCAAGATGCCTCAAATATTTGAATCACAATTGAGAACATTACATTGGTCTCCTTACCTTTCACCACATCAGCCACGTTACATGTGGGATCAATACTTCCTATGTGTTTAGGATGAGCAGGATTAGTGTCGCCACCAAACAGAAGGGCTAAACAAACACAAAAGGGAAGATCAAAATACAGCAGGCTGGGATGGTCAAGGGGCTTATGCATTTTTAAAGGATCGCTTCTTTGTAAAAATCATTTTAGCATGCAGAGCAACTTAAGAGCAATGGAATACACACAGTTGATGAGTGAGCAACTCTAACGGCCAACCAAGGAGGAAGGATGTGCTTTAACACCTGTCAGTTGCAGTCAGCAGGTCCTAAAGCAGTGACATGTGCCAGGTGCCCAACCCTTTCTCCCCCACCGAATGTAACTTGGATGAAGAAACTTACTTTCATCCTTAGCCAAGTTGACCCACCTTCTCAGTACTACTCCAGACGAGTATTCCGACTTTCACTAAATATTTAGAACACGCAGTCTGTACCATTTGGACAGGCCTGCAAAGTGTCTTCACTGGCAGTGTTTCAGATGCTTCCATCATGAAGATTATTTTCAATGTCATGTACATAAACGATATTTGTTCAAGTATTTTTGAAAGTACACTCAGATAATTTTACGATACATAAGATTTGCAAAATTTTGTTTCTGAATAAAAGTCAAAAGAAACCTCAAAGAAAAAAGCAATCAGAATCCAAATGTTTATAGGTGTACTTTTTTAAATCAAGCAAAAATTGGGAATAACTTAGATTCCACAAAAGGAGGATGTCTAAATAAAATAGGGGAGATTTTAAACTATAAAATAGGTGAATATGGGCAGTAGGCCAATAAATAAAGTTTCAACTAAGGAGAAGAAACAGAGATGTATACTTAACTGATGATCTAAAAACATGTACTATATATATGTCTACATACGTATTTAGATCAGAAAGAAATTGCAGTTATCTAGGTAGTTTAGTTGAACAGTATTTACATTCTTTTCCTGTAAACTGTCATACATTTCTATTTTTAAAGAGATATATTTCATATAAACCCACATTTAATATGTGTATAACATTCACATATCCAAATTAATCAAATTAGTAAAATAAAGATGCTTTGCCCATCTTCTGATTCAGGAAAGGGAGTTAGGCTCTAAACATGTGGATACTTTTTTAAAAAATTATAAAATCAGTCACAGAGACAATGCTGAAAATGAGCCAAAAAGTTTTTTTGTGTAGAGAGAATTGTAGGGTTTTGTTTGATTGTTTTTTTAAATATCTGCTTGTCACCATAGAGAGCAGACTAAAACTTTCAATATAGGATTATGAACTGACAATCTTGTTTAATCTGACTTCACTGATCACTGTGAAATAAAGGATCAATTGTTCTTATTGTCAACATGTCAATTCAACATTCCCGGTATCAATGTTTTTAAAACTAAAAAGGAAAACACATTATATCCTAGATAAAGAATAGAACATACTCTCAGAGACACATAAGCGTATTCAGGGATGTCATTAAAGCTAGTCCCTTATCCGCACCTGGAATATAATGGCAGAGGCTTCAAAAGCAGACAGTGGTCCTATCTCTAATATAACCATCATAAAAGCCTTTGAAAAATTTCTTTTAACCAAGAATACTAATTAACAGTTTTTTAATAGATAGGGTTCACTTAGGAAAAATTGAACCAGAAATAAAATTTCTACAGCCAAAAACACAGGTCAGTAAATTAAAAGTGAAGCAATAAGGAAATATTTAGGAGAAGTCACTCTAGATACTTTTTCAAAACTGGACCAACAAAACCCAACTTACTGTGCTGGTTAATTAGCATGCGGAAAGAGATGCGGTTGGTATAAAACCGATCCAGAAAATACTGGATGTTACTGCTAATGAAAGGATCAAACCCAAACTTCTCCTTGTATTCAATCACTCCTTGTGCCATTGTAGGAACCACATCATTGTGTCTATTTCTGACTTTAATCAGAACTTGTAGAAAGCTGTATGAGAGGGAAACAAAACACGGTCAGTCTTTATCTCTCATGGGCTGATGCACAGACTTCCCAGCTCTGTCCCCAGAGTAGTTGTCTGCTGGTATTTTTATAGGTAGGGACATCATTCTCATTACATGCTATAAGAAAGTACTCATAAGAAACTAAAGTTTTACCCAAGTTTTTGTTTGAAACTTTCTTTCTACAGAAACTCTTCTTTCAGGGATGTAAAAAGTAAAAGGTTCTGGTAAAGAAAAGACCCTTTCAGGAATCCACTGACCTTCTGGATAAATGATTACATATAACACAGATTCTAAAAATGTTGAATAAAGAACTGCAAAACATATCAATATATCTTCTGACAACATAAGGACAATCCCCCTAAAAATCACCAAGGACTTATTAATGGAGTCTCAAAACAACAGCTTCCATGAATAAAGAAATGTCATACATTTAAGAGTAAAATTTTGAAATAAATTTCTCACAGTAGTGATGAAATATAGATAGAACAAAGATGATTAAAACAAATTTATTCAAGTATTCTGGCTTATTATTGTAAAGATGCCTAGGGGAAAAGAATGGTAAGTAAGAATAGAAAGACAAGTCAATCAGTGAAACCAAATATTTGGAACCAGGCCTGTGGGTGAGTATGTGTATATAAAAACTGAGTACATTGAGAAAGTAACATTGCAAGTCAATAGGGAAACAATCATATTAATAATCAAATTAACTGAAACATTGGGCTAACAATTTAAGTCACATTCCAATTTCAAGCCTTAAATCAAATACTGGATTAAAAATGTAAAAGGGTAAAATCACAGAAACAATAAAGGAAAATCAGGTGAATGAGTATATGACCTTGGGGTAAGGAGGGCTGATCTAAGCTTAATACCAAAGGCAGAAACAAATAATATGAAGAAACAAATGATATGACCATGTAAAATTTCAGCACTTATTTAGGGATATAATACAAATAAAGTAAAAAAACAAAGTGAAATTGGGAAAAATGTATTTGCAAGAGTTATTATCCTTTTTTATTTTTTTAAGGAGTTATTACCCTTAATTTAAAAAGGAAGCACTCCATCAGATAACTAGGCAAAGGATCTGATATTAATGGAAAATTTACCAAAAAAGAAACACAAATGCCAATAACTTTATCCTCACAAATAAAAGAAAGCAAATTAAAAATAATGCGGTACTTACTGTTCTCCACTTACCAATGTCAGCTAGAGTGTGGAATGCATTTATAGGGGCAATTTAACAACATATTTCAAAAGCCCAAAGAAAATAATTCCAGAAATTGATCCTAGAAAAATAACTGGACAAGGTGAACAGCTGTATTTAAAGGCTGTTCTTTTGTGCACTGTTTGCAGTAGCAAGAAAACTACAAATCAGTCTAAACTCCAGTGATGGGGGTCAAACTACATGACCTACCTATTAATGTGAATATTACGAAGTTATTAAGAATTAATAATGGTGTTAACTCTATAATGCAGACACTTGTTATTTTTGTAAAAAGTATTTTACACATATAAAAATATGCATGCCTAGGAAAAAGTATGAAAGCCAGAAAAATATTAATAGGAGAAATTGGGGGTGACTTTCTTTTTACTTGTCTTAATTTTCTCAAGGATGAAATATTTCTGTAACATATACATAAACAATAAAGATGAATAAATCAACTCTGAAATTAGGCCACAACTATTCACAGAAAATTTTATAATGGACAACTTGTCCTTTATGTAACACTCTTTCCAATGTACTTACAGATTAAATATTACTAAAATAAAGTAAAACAATTCATTATAGAAGAGATGTGTTTCAACTTATCTGAAGGGAGAAGATTTACCTCAATGGTTCAATTCTCAGAATTCTTCCTCAATCTTCCAGGCTCTTCTAAACTCTATCATAATAATCAACATGCTTGTCCTCTAAGCTACTTTTTCTTTATTAAAATTATTTCCCTGCTGGTGATCCATACAACCTCTTGCTGCTACCATGATATTCATTCACCTTTCACTCCTTCCTTTACCAAGAACATTAGGCTTCTGAAATACCAAGTAGCTTAACTAGTCACATGAACCTGGGCAAGTTACTGGAACTCACTGAGAGCTCAGCTAATATCATGATGGTCTAGCACACATTGGATTTGGCACTGGCAGTTTACAAAGCAGGCTCATGGCCATAAGTCACATCTGACTGACAACCTGCTTCAGAAACCAAGACAGGACTCGGGGGAAAAACACAGCAGAAATTTAATATCATGTGCAGTCATCCTTTGGTATCCATGGGAGATGGGTTCCAGGACCCCTTATGGATACCAAAATCCTTGGATGCTCAAGTCCCTTATCTAAAATGGCCTAGTAGTTGCATATAACCTGTGCACAGCTTCCCATATATTACACTTTAAATCATCTCTAGGTTACTTATAGTACCTATATAATATAAATAGTTGTTATATTTTTAAAAATTTGTACTACTTCTTTTTTTTTTTTTTGAGTTGGAGTCTCACTCAGTCACCCAGACTGGAGTACAGTGGCCGCTCCCGGCCACTGCAGCCTCGACCTGCTGGGCTCCGGCAATCCTTCCGCCTCAGCTTTCCAAGTAGCCGGAATTACAGGCATGCGCTACCATGCCCCGCTGATTTTTTGATTTATTGTAGAGCTGAGGTCTCACCAAGTTGCCCAGGAGGGTCTTGAACCCGCGGGGTCAGGCAATCCACTCACCTCAGCCTCCCAAAGTGTGGGATTACAGGGTAAGCCACCGAGCCTAGCTTGTATTACTTCTTATTGTTATACTGCACTTTTTTCCCTTGAATGTCTTTTTGATCTATAGTTGGTTGAATCCAAAGATGGAGAACTCCTGGATACAATGGGTTAACTGTACTTCCACAAATCTATGTCCTAAAATTTAGAGCTAGAGAGGTCAGTTTTAGTTTTAGGATTTCAGCCACACTGTCACCAACTAATGACTTTGGAGAAAACAAAGTTCCTGGAGTCAATTTATTTAATATCAGTGACAACAGTGCCTTATATCAAGGAAAACACTGCATCAGGGTTCTAACCCAATGTTTCCCTCACCACCTTCCACATTTCACAGATCCATTAGACAAAACTCCTAGTAAAGTATAAAACAGGTCAAGGTTTTTTACATTTTAATTTTAATTTACAACTAAACTTAAGCTAGCTACTCATGGCTCAAACCGGCAGTCCTGGCAGATAGTAAAAACAGTGTACTAGGGAAAATGAAATGTGATTTATAGGTCCAGTTCTGCTATGAACTGCTACAATCTTGAGCAAGTCACTTCACATCTCTGACCCTAACTTCCTTATCCGTGAATTCAGAAGAATAGATTAAATACCTCCTAAGGTTGCGTGTATACCGTGATGTTTCCCTAGTTCTTTTTTTGAGTCAGGGTCTTACTTTGTCATCCAGACTGGAGTACAGTGGCACCATTATAGCTCACTGCAACCTCAGACTCCTGGGTTCAAGCAATCCTCCCACCTCAGTCTCTCAAGTAGCTAGGACTACAGACACATGCCACCACATTTGACTAATTTTTTAATTTTTTTGTAGAGACAAGGTCTTAAACTCCTAGGCTCAAGTGATGCTCCCACCTTGACCTCGCAAAGTGCTGGGATTACAAGCATAAGCCACTATGCCCAGCTACCCTAGTTCTTTTTATGGAGCATCTATAAGTCAGGTGTTCAATCTCACAACTATGTGAACTATGTTTATACTCACAAAGAACTTTCTCAGCACAACAGGCCTGTTGTATATATTCACTCAAGTATGCATGAAACAGGAGGAAATTCATGTGAAAGGATACTTAATTTTTCTTGGGGGGGGGGATACATAGCTAGGGTGTTTCTTGGCTAAATAAAAAGGAAAAACAGAAATATTCCATCAGCATGAGAGCTCACCAGTCTGTGCATAATGGCAACAATAGAATTCAGGTTGTTACATAAAAAGCACACTCTTTTATGCGTCTCCAAAATAAAACCATTACAGTTTTTTTAGCTCAAATGTAATATCGTCTTGAATTTTTTTTAAATTGTAAAAGACTGATAAATTCATGTATACATGGAGCCCATTGCATTCTTAAAACTACCACTAGATGGAACATTTACTGCAATATTTATAGTGAGTGCCCAGTTCACCTTGAGTGAATTTCTTCAGAATTAGGTCATGAAGCATCACAGGAAGTGTCATTATTTCTTTTGCATGATGTTAATTTCTTAACTCAAATTTTTAAAAACACAATGTTGAGTCATTATCCATTAAGAAAATGAATGCTTTTGTCCAAATTATACTTCTTGGGTCTTGATGACATGAGCTCCATTTTCCAAAACATTTTTTACCTCAATATTTTTACTTGCAGGTAAGTGGTACCATACTTACTTATCCAAGACCTGTGGATCCTCAGGGCTCTTATTTTCATATTCTAACAGTTCAAGAAAGCTCTGCATATACCTAATAAAAGAAGAGTTACTGTGTTAGCTGCCTACCCAACACCCACTCCTCCTTTCTTTTCTTTCCTTTCTCCATCCCATCCCTATCCTTCCCAGGCAACTCCAGTAATTCAGGGAAAGTTGGTACCTCCAAAGATTCTGAGTGGCACCATTTTTCTCTGGGCACTCCTATTTCTCTTATCACTAATTATTAATAATAACTACTAATGATTAATAATAATTAGTCCAATAGTCCAGGTCTAAGCCTATTACTGTGTGGATCCCCCTGAGCAAAAAGGATCAGCCCAGGAATGGACATAATAACACAATTCAGGCTAGCAAATGACAAAGAAGACTTGCTGAAGGATTCTGGGAGAGAAACCAACTTGTTCTGCTTTTGTACAGAGTGTTATGCAGATGTAAAGACTGGAATTGTTACAGCTATTCTGCCAGCAGGAGGGGATCCAGTCTGACAATGAAGCCAAAGCTGTCAAAAGCAGGGCTTTGATAGCCTCATGAATCTCTAAATCAAACCAACACCAAAAGCTCATCCTACAGCTGGACCTTCTAGTTACATGAGCCAGGTTCAGTTGCATTTTCGACCACTCACAAACAGACATATCCTAATTGATTCAAACCGTAGAGTTTGATTACCAAAAATGTACATGTAATGTTTTTTTTCAGAGTCTCACTCTGTAGCCCAGGCTGGAATGTAGTGGCATGCTCACAGCCACTGCAGCCTTTACCCACTGGGCTCAGACGATCTTCCCACTTCAGCCTTCCAAGTAGCTGGAACCACAGGTGCATGCCACCATGCCCGGCTTATTTTTTATTTATTTATTTATTATAGAGATGAGGTCTCCCCAAGTTGCCCAGGTTGGTCTTGAACCCCTCTGCTCAAGCAATCTTCTTGCCTCTGCCTCCCAAAGTACTAGGATTACAGGTATGAGCCACTGTGCCTGGCCAGTACATGTAAATTTTAAGAAGCACATGTGTGAAACTGAAGTACATTTCAAGAATTTAGAAATTAGATGGAAAGAAGGTTCTTCTCAGAGTTAAATTAATTCACCAACACTTAATGGGGAAAAAGTGTGCCTCTTAGACCCTCAGAAACAGCTTCTGGATTAAGAATGGCTGCATATCTCAATCAGGGCCAGTGTAAGAAATAGTGTGTGCAACATTAAGATCAAGAGAATACAGAAAATGGGACTCAGAGGCATGTTAGTGTAGCAGCTACATCCAGCCAAGACCTGTTAGAGCTGGTAGGGATTCAGATCTTCCAATTAGTGGTATATGAGCTGTTTGGGGACTTAACATATCCTGAAAGAATTAGCCTTCTATTCTAATTATTTCTAACAATTAATTACCACTAATCCTATTATCTACCTTTGGACAGAGGATGAAGACACTCCAGAAACTAAAAATGACTGTTACATAAACAAATACGTCAACAGGAATACCATTTGACTTTTCAGCTTCATATTAACTTTGTGACAATGCATCTGATACTAAAGAATATTCTTCACTGGGTATATTTTTTTAAAGTCTCCAGGCACATAAGGCTGTGGATTAGATATTGTTAAAATCATCAGGTCAAAACAACCTGAGAAATCAAAGACAGCCAGCCCCAGGTAGGCATCCTGTCCTTTCCCAAGAGGATTGTGCAAAGTCATAAATGGAGAGAAGTCAACCATTATGCTGAGGTTCCTAGCCTGCAAGTCAAGAGAGCAAGGAGAACACACTGTGACTGAGGGGACAGTGGTGGATTCATGGTCTGTTATGCATAAGATTAGCTTTTAAAAGGAAATGGCAGTGAAACACAATGCATGAGCCTGAACTGGATTCCTAAATCAGGAAAAGAAATTGCTTTTTTAAAAAGAGGGCCACCATTAGGACAATTAGTAAAGTGAAAATAAATCCTACATTTAGAAAATATTACCATATCAGTGCTAAATTTCCCAAATATGATGATCATACTGTCGTTTTTGAAGTTTGTTCCAAGGAAATAAAAGCTAAAGTATTCGGAGCAAAGGGGCATGGTGTAGACATAGGGTGTGTGTGTATGTGTGTACCATACAGACAACACATACAGAGGTGGGGTGGGGGAGATGGAAAAATGAAGAGACGGAGAAACAGAAAAATAGCGGGGAGAGAGAATATGAATGACAACAGCAGAACAAATGTGGCCAAATGTTAAAAATTACAGACCAGCCTGGGCAATATAGTGAGACCTTGTCTCTACAAAAATTAAAAAATTAGCCAGGCGGGTGGTGGCACACAACTGTAGTCCTGGCTACTCAGGAGGCTGAGGTGCAAGGATCATCTGAGTCCAGGAGGTCAAGGCTACAGTAAGCTGTGATCATGCCACTGCACTCTAGCCTGGGTGACAGAGTGAGACACCAACTCAAAAAAAAAAAAATAAATTAGTGAATCTCCATGAAGACATATAGAAGTTCTTTCTACTAATCTTGCACCCCTTCTATTAAGAAGGAAATTATTTCAAAATAGAATGTTTAAAAAATAAAAAGGAAAAAATGATATACGTGTATTTAGAATGGATAAGGAAGAGGACTAGTTAAAAGACAAAAGAGTTGACACAGAAATTTGTTTGAATCTACACTTTGCCAATGTGGTATAATACAAAAATACATTAGGTCTTTGTCCCTGGTTCTGGGCCCAGAGCTCCTAAAACCTTTAGAATTTCCTGAGTGACAGGAGTGTCTTTTATCATTCAGAAGGAGCCCCTTTTTATCACACCCGAATTTATGCTAATGAGACAACAGAGGGGAGCCCCTGGATTGCCTCAGGATGGAGCTGATCACCAAAAAGACCAAGTGAGTCCAGGGTTGGAACTTTCAGCCCCACCCCAACCTCTGACCTCCATAAAAATTCTTGAATGACAATTCAGAGAGCTTCCCGGTTGTCCAACACATGGGGGTACTAGTTAGGTAGTACACCCAGAGGGGGCATGGATGCTCCACTTATCCCCTACTCCATAACTTGCCTATGCATCTCTCCCATTTGGTTGTTCCTGAGTTTATCCTTTATAAAAACCTGTGAACATAAGAGCTTTCCTGAGTTCTATGAGCTGAAACTCACAAATTATCAAGCCTGAGAAAAGGATGTGAGGTACTGTCCGAACACAGAGTGTTTCCTTCTCTACCTGGCTTCTTTCTGCTCCCTTCCTCATGAGTGGCCTCTGGCCAAGGTTGTTCCCTTGTATATTCCCAGTAATGAGTCATGGGATGCAGGTGACCAAGCAAAGCTGAAAACAATGTAGTCATCACTCTTAATGTAATTGTAAACACCATATAGGAATGATTAACTTGATTACTTTTATTATAAAACTGCTTGCTATATACCACCCTGAGGCATGGGTTCTTCACTGGCTAGCCACTATCAGTGCCTCTTGTAAGTTTTAATAAGCCAAAGTCTTTCCCTGCTGGACCTCCAGGTAACTTCTTTGGAACAGGTAAACATTAGGCTCAGATTTGGGATTACCACATTACAAGGGTCGTGTAAGCCCAATGTACAGCCACTCAGACAGAGGCACAGGTGACTCAGAGCTAATGACTGGTGTCTGAAGTCAGGGGGCAGTCTTGTGGGACTGAGCCCTACAGTTGTGGGATCTGTGCTAACTCTGGGTAGTTAGTGTCAGGATTGAATTGAATCACTGAACATCCAGTGTCTGACAATCAGAGAACTGGCTGTTGGAGTTGGAAAAACTGCAGAGCCAGGAATTCAACCTGAAGCTCCTGAAGTAACTTTTACATAAGCAATAGTAAATGTCTACCTGTCACCACCACCAGGATCAGGGGACTTGATCTTGCCTACTAGAATCCCCACCACAGTAACTCCCAATTGTGATTTTATATTTTTTACTGGAAAATCTCTAATTATGGTCTTGAAGCAATAAAGAAGTCTCATGCAAACACGTACCTGCTATTCCTTCTAAAACAAGCTATGAATCTAGAGCAGAATGCAATTGTCAATGATAGCAAAACCCCACGGTCAGTCTCTCTTATCTCTCCTGCCTTCCCAAGACTCTGCTCCTCACATGGTGAGGAGCTACTGCCTGTCTCGGAAAGGGACTGGACATCATACCTCTGAGACCACCCAACATAGCATTTCTCAGATGATTCATGTTTAACCTTAATAATTTATTATAATTAATATTATTGAGGAATGACTATTGAATGTCCATCATTCTCTTTCAGTAGCCTGGTCTCCACTAACCCTCTAAATGCAAACTAATTAATAGTTGCACTCTCTTTATATTTGTTCACATCATGCCCTTCTAAAATGCTCTCCCTGTCACCTGTACCTGTCAATTCCACTCACTCATCAAGGGGCAGTGCAGAACCATAGCTGGCATTTCTCTGCTCCCATAGCACTGTGCTTACTTGACAGTACTTATGGCATGTTGCCCCCCAAACTCCCCCAGTTTTCTCCACAGTGAATTCTACCTTGCTTTTATAACACAGAGTAGACCTGCACATGTTTCTGGAACACTGTGTATGCAAATCCCTTTCTAAAAACACTCTACTTGCTCTTACATCCTACCACTCACTGGTCTCACCCTACTTACCTAGTGGGCAGTTGCATCACAATTCAACTTCCTCAATTAAGTAACATATGCTTTAAGCATCAGAGCTATAACTGGTTTAAGTTTACATTACACTCTGTTAAGATTTTTCATACTTTTCATAGGGCAAATGGACCAAAGCAGGAAGCTGATAGTTTTCCAATCTGAGGTTTCCCTTCAAGTGACTTAATTTGTTCTACAAAAAGTACTGCCTTCAAAAAACTTCTTTAAAAGGAAAATAGGAGCCGGGCTTGGTGGCTCAGCCTGTAATCCTGCGCCTTTGGGAGGCTGAAGTGAGTGGACTGCCTGAGCCCGCAGGTTCGAGACCCGCCTGGGCAACTTGGTGAGACCTCATCTCTACAATAAATCAAAAAATTAGCCGGGCATGGTAGCGTGCGCCTGTAGTTCCAGCTACTTGGAAGGTTGAGGCAGAAGGATCACTGGAGCCCAGCAGGTCGAGGCTGCGGTGGCTGGGAGTGGCCACTGCACTCCAGTCTGGGTGACAGAGTAAGACTCCGACTCAAAAAAAAGGGAAAATAGGCCGGGCTCGGTGGCTCAGCCTGTAATCTTGCACTTTGGGAGGCTGAGGTGAGTGAACTGCCTGAGCCCGTGGGTTCAAGACCCCCCTGGGCAACTTGGCGAGACTTCATCTCTACAATAAATCAAAAATTAACCGGGCGTGGTAGTGCACGCCTGTAGTTCCAGCTACTTGGAAGGCTGAGGCGGAAGGATCGCCAGAGCCCAGCAGGTC